ATGTCTGTATAATGATAATAAATTTGAAATATTTAAATGATAAATATCCAAGCGTCTAAAACAATAAATTTGGAATGTTCGAATAATAAATTTAAGATATTTAAATATCTGAATGATAAGTTTAGAATAAATCAGTTTAAATAACAACGACTGGAAATACGTGTATCTGTTTCACGTGGTTTGTTGGTTTTGTTGGACGACAGGTAGGCGCGTACTGTTACGCAGAACTGGGCTGCATGATCAGAAAGTCGGGCGCCGATTACGCATATATCATGGAGACCTTCGGACCTTTCCTGGCATTCATCAGGCTCTGGGTTGAGTGCATGATAGTGCGACCTTGCAGCCAGGCTATCGTGGCCTTGACCTTCAGCGTTTACGTGTTGAAACCGGTGTTTCCGGACTGTGCACCACCGGACGATGCCACGAGGATACTGGCAGCGTGCTGCATCTGTGAGTCAATCACCATTATTTCTTTTAATATTTTACAACATCGAAAAAGATATTCTAAAACAATTCATACAAGTGATTCACACAAGTATCCATTTTCTTTTTCTTTCTTTCTTTCTTTCTTTTTTTTTTCTCTCCTAAGAATATTAAAAGTCACTCTTACTTGTCGCGAATTTTTAATTTAGACGATACAGACAGGAATAATTGTTTCGAGTGTCAGAATGAAGATTTTGTCAATTGTTTAAGCAAGATTCAAAGAATGAGACTCGCAGAATGGATTTACTCATAGACAAGTGCCATCTCGCTATAGATCGAAAGATGTCAAAAGAATAGAGAAGCACAGATTCACCCTGAATTTGATCGACTGAAAATTCTCTTTTTATCAATATCGAGGAGTAAATGACAGAATGCAGTTGCGGGGAACGTGTTGCAAGTAATTGGGGCCAATATATATTAGAACATCTTGAAAGAAGCTAAATCCACAAGGAGGAATTAGGTTTGTTTATTCTCACGGAAATTAAGCTGTCGGCCGAGCGTTCTCGTTTAATCGATGTGATTCGTTCTATCAGAGGACCCCCTTCAGAATGCTTGTTGATTGGACTGTCGGATTTTTCTGGCCGTTCCAAGAACACCATAGTATTGTCCATACGCAATTGGATGCTCGTTCCACTGTCATTCACTAATACCAGCCTCGATTAATCGAATTATTTTCTCCGCTCTGTCAGAGTTATTCATCTTTCTGACCAGAGTCAAGAACCGACTCCTTTTCACTGGACTATACCGGTCCCGGGATTAATTTCAATGGTTCAATCGTCGATTTGTCGTGGAACCTTGGACTTCGACGATGCCGGACTAATTCGTTCATCACGCACGATCCTTCGTCGCAGACTTCATCGCAATTGCCATCATGTTTGAAAGCATGACTGCGTCAGATCACGAGAATTTATCGTTTCCAAAGTTTCTTTCAGGCAATTGGATGTGTTTTTTTTTTTTTTTTTGTTCATTTCAAGTTAGAGAGCTATTTATTTCTCCACGAAAGCTCAAAATTAAGTGGGAATATTCGCCAGTCTGCGGACTTCGCTAAATCACAAATTAAACATTCTCGATGTTCTTGAACAAAGTTTAACATTCACAAGATACATATCAAGTGATAGAAGACAGAACGAAGATTGAAGATTAATTTTCATAAAATCTTGAAAAATGGTTCAGAAATGATTCTCTCAAATATTCTCTGGGAACTAAAATATCAGTGAAGCTCCGGGGAAATATATTCCTCGATCTTCTTGGACTCCTTTTATTCAGAGAGATCGGCAATACTCTAATGGTCCGTGAGTATGGCATTTCTTTCGAGCGAGAAAACCGCCAGGACTCGTCCCTCATTGTCGCTGGTGTCCTTCGGGAGGCTTTCGAAGCTAATGCCGCCTCTCGTTACGTGAACAATTTGTAATTCCTCCAATAATACCTCAGCAATCTTGGAATTGTCCGGCACCCTGTCTTCTCTCTCGTACGATTGAAAATGTCTCTCGGAGACCTTGCGGAAAAACGCTGTTCTTTCGTCTTAATGAGCACTCTGGGGGAATCATGGTTTCCTCTTTCTGATCTCAAACTGGATGGTAAGAAAGTAAAATCCGATTGTTTCGGACTAAACAATGTTTTATATATATTCTCGTGGTGGAGTAAAGGTTTGCTTCAAAATTGGGTGTTTCAATTAACTGATGAAAGCGCATTCTGAGGCACGTAATTTTATTCTTGAACTTCTTGGGACAAAGGAACAAAATTTAATCCGCTTTAATCGGAAGAATTTTGTAGAGTTTCTGGGAAACTCTGGAGGTAGAATGATGAAAAGTTTCAAGTACTCGGTAAATATCCACTAGCACATTTTCAACGATTTTTCATTCTTCAAAGTTCAACATATTGGAAGAAATTGAGTTTGGCGTGATAAATGATCTTAGCTACATAGAGTGAAAGAAACGTTGCCTCGTTATAGAAAATTCAATTATTCATCGATCGATGCAAATTCTGATAGTAGGGTAATTTGCTTTGTACACTCGCGATACAAAATAATGGTCCAAAATATGGTCTGCCGGAATATTCGATATCTGCAATTAACAGACTCGGTTGAAGATAAGTGTCCAGTGAAAGAGTCACAAAACGGAG